ACCAAACAGAAAAAAAGCTTTTCATAGCAAAAAAAAAAAAACAACGCTTATAGGGCAGGGCCTGTGGCTCAAAGTAGGGCACTGGCCCCATATGCCAGAGGTGGCAGGTTCAAACCCAGCCTTGGCCAAAAAAAAAAAAAAATGTTTACAATACAGTGACTGCATATAGAGACGCTGTAGTTTATTTAATGGGTCTCTTGTTGGTGCATTTATATAGCTTGCAGATTTTCACTATTAATAAGTGACACCATGACAAATAGAGATCTTTGTGTATATCACTGGTTCTTTTTTTTTTTTTTTTTTTTTGAGACAGAGCCTCAAGCTGTCCCCCTGGGCAGAGTGTCATGGCTTCACTGCTCACAGCAACCTCCAACTCCTGGGCTCAAGCGAGTCTCCTGTCTCAGCCTCCCAAGTAGCTGGGACCACAGGCGCCCACCACAACACCCAGCTATTTTTTGGTTGCAGCCATTATTATTGTTTGGCGGGCCCGGGCTGGATTCGAACCCACCACCTTAGGTATATGTGGCTGGTACCTTAGCCGCTTGAGCCACAGGCGCCGAGCTGTGGTTCTTTCTTTAGAATAAATTCTTAGACATAGATTGCTAGACAAAGTTTTTACTATTCTAAGTTATTTGATGTATATTCCCAAATGCCCTGCAGAAGACTGTACCAAATCACATTCCTACTGGGGATGACCGAGAGAAGCCATTTTCTTAAAGTACCCATCATTTGGTTATCATCACTTGGGGAGATGTTTGGCAGCCTGAATGGAAGAGAAAACCGGTATCTGACTGCTCTGATTCAAACTTGACTCCTAGTGAGGTTGAACATTTTTTCTTGTTTGTCAATTATTTGCATTTCTTTCACTGTGGATTATCTTTATGGCCTTTTGTATCATGTTTACTTCTTAACCTGTTTCTAAACACCAGGATCACGCTAGGTGCCCTATGCTTGCTCTAAGTAACAGAGTGATGGAACGTAGAGCCTGTTTGGTACGGGGAACTAGGAACTTGAATAACATTTTTACACAGGTATTTATTAAACATTCACGTTGGGTTTTATACTGTGTATCGCAGTGCTCAGGAGTCTCTTGACTGTTGACGTTGATGTTATGTGGTAGAAGAAGCCTATTTTACTGAAACCTAACTTCAGTATATCTGGAAGTAGCTCTCTAAAAGGCAAAATATGCCACGTACTTCCCCTCTGTAAAGAAAAGAGAAATCCATGTAAAGCAGTTGAACAGAAGCAGCTTAGACAGGGATTAGAAGGAGGGAGGATTGACAGTGGCAGAGAGGTGGAATAAGATCAAAAAGTAGTTTACATCCTTAATCCGTGAGCTTTCCCATGCTGCATGGTTATCTTTACATTTATTTTTAGAGAAATCTTGTTTGACAGTAATATGGAGAAGGCAGGGAGAAACCAGGATACTCTTACACGGGTGTAGGTGAAAGAACCATCTGAACTGAAGCAGCAGCTGGAAATTATGATGAAAAGGGATGGATCTGAGAAATTTTTCATCAAGATTCTAGAACATCAATAAAAGGTTAAATTATGTTCCTTTTAGTCTATTTCTAAACAGTTTACTTTGATTATCCATCAAAGAGAAGGTGCTGAGTTGTTTGGCCTTAAAAGGGATATTTTAATTATTTTGAAAATTTGATTTCGTGCAGCAACCTTGTTTTCTGATGAAGTTGGATAAATGAGCCATTTAGACTAAATGTGATTTTTTTTTTTTTGGGCTGTTCTACAGCTTTTAATTTTTTGAGATGACATTTTGAAACAGAGGAAATAGAATATATAAAGACTTTTCGGGTATCAATTTTCCCTAATTACGAAACTGAGGTATAAGGAATTTAAGTAACTTCTGACTAAGGTAATATAAAGCATTTTGACTGTGGAATCAGTGTCAGAACTGGCTAGAAGCCAGGTGCAGAGGCTCACGCCTATAATCCTAGCACTTTGGGAGGCTGAGGCAGGTGGATTGTTTGACTCAGGAGTTCAAGACCAGCCTGAGCAAGAGCAAGACTCTCGAGAAAAAAAAAAAAAAAAAAAAAGAATTGGCTGATGACTACCTGTGTCTGTGTCCTGTCACTAATATGTATTTACTAGTGACATTCCCTCTGAGGAACTGAGCATGGTAGCTCTTGTCTGTAATCCCATCACTTGGGGAGGTGTAGATGGGAAGATCACTTGAGGCCGGAGGTTCAGGATCACACTGGGCAGTACAGCAAGATCCCATCTCTGGAAAAAAATAAAAAATTAGCTGGGTGTGGTGGTGCACACCTGTAGTCTCAACTACTTGGGAGGCTGAGGCAGGATTATTTTGTAAGCCCAAGAGTTTTAGGTTGCTGTGAGCTTTGATGGTACCACTGCATTTTAGCACAGGTAACAGAGCAAGAACTCATCTCAAAAAAATAAAAATTCTCTGTGAAACAGTGGGGCATATCATATCAATGTTATGTAATCATTTAATTTTAGACCCATTTAGAGTTAGTGTCAGCAATAGATAATAACTTTTATTGTATAGTTAATACACATATCTGAGAAAAAAATGTCTTGGGCCATGAATTCAAAAATTAATGTGCTAAAAAAAAAAATGTGCTAACCAGCATCTTCAGTGATCTAATTCACCACTTGAATTGTTATTGTACATAAAAAGATCAGAATTTAGACTCAGATAAGCTACATTGAACCCTACAGAACAGTGATAAAGAAAGGAGTTAAGTTGCCTGGAATGAAATCTTAGCCATTTCAGAGCTGTTTGTTTTTTGTTTTTGTTTTTTTAGACAGTCTCAGTATGTTGCACTGGGTAGAGTGCTGTGGTGTCATAGCTCACAGCAACCACAAACTCTTGGGCTTAAGCAAGTCTCTTGCCTCAGCCTCCCATGTAGCTGGGACTACAGGTGCCTACCACAATACCAGCTATTTTTAGAGACGAGGTCTTGCTGTGTGGGTCAGGCTGGTCTCGAACCTGTGAGCTCAGTCAATCCACCTGCCTCAGCCTCCCAGAGTGCTCGGATTACAGCACCTGGGCAAGGTTATAAGCATTAATTGATATTCTATGTATATTACTTATCACATATTAGATACTCAAGAAAAAAAATGTGGCCTATACTAAGCAAGCTTAATTCATGAAAATTTGGATTTATGTTAAAGATAAGCTAAATCTTGGTAGAAGAATTCAGTTTGGTACAAGATTCTGTTGGTAGGACAAAAGAACAAGTATCTCTATTCTATTTGGAATTGAAATGCCATTCTAAAAATGTATCATGGAAAATAAGGTCTCTACACAAAAATGCCTGTGTTCTTAAAATTGGTATAATGGTAATATCTTTAAAATTATCTTAGTAGAAGAAGCTGCCTTCTGATTTTATTTTAATTTTAATTGGGCCTTTGAAAAAACATTTTTATTGTCTAAAATATCTAGATCCTGTGGCATATAGAAACATTACATTTAATGTAGTAAAGATTCTGGCCTTTGATAATTTATTTTGGGAAACATTTCATATCAGTTCCTACCACTGAAGAAAGATATAAAAGTGGATGCCTTAGAAGAGCTGTATATAAGCTAGTAGCTATCAAACCTTAAAAGTAGTGCTGAAAAACAAGGACAAAACATCTTTCTCTTCTGTCTTCTTTAGAAGGACAAGCTTTGGAAATTGAGATGCAGGGCCATGTGCCTATAATCTTAGCACTCTGGGAGGCCAAGGCGGGAAGATTGTTTGAGCTCGGGAGTTTGAGACCAACTTGGGCACAGTGAATGAAGACCATCTCTATTAAAAATACTACCTAGAAAAATTAGCCAGGCATGGTGGTAGTCCCAGCTGTTCTAGAGGCTGAGGCAGGAGAATTGAGTCCAAGAGTTTGAGGTTGCCATAAGCTAAGCTGAGGCCATGGCACTCCAGCCTGAGTAGCAGAGCAAGACTCTTGTCTCAAAAATAAAAAAAAAGAAAGAAATCGAAATGTAAATCTAATAGAACTTATGGCATTAAAAAATGTGCCATTTGCATGACTCGTTACCTTATTTTTTACTAAAAATGTTCCTCCTTCATTCTTTAAAATATTTAATTGATAATAAAAGGTCTGTTGGGTATAGAATTCATTGGCATAAATAAAGGTTATGATAATTTTCAGGGTGGAAGTCCAGCTTCATTCTCCAAACTTTTTTTTTTTTTAATTTAAGAAGCAGGATCTTGCCTAGTTGCTCAGGCCAGAGTGCAGTGGCCCAGTCATAGCTCACTGTAACCTCAAACTCATGAGCTCAAGCAGTCCTCCTCCTTCAGTCTCTCAGATAGCTGAAACTATAGGCATGTGCTACCTCCCCTGGCCAATTTTTTTTTTTTTTTGAGAAATACGGTCTCATTTTATTCCCCAGACTAGACATGAACTCCTGGCTTCAAGCAGTCCTACCTGGGCCTCCCAAAGTGGTGGGATTATAAGCATGAGCCATCATGCCTGGCCCATTCTCCAAATCTAATAACTTTAATATAAGACTTTACCTTTCAAAGCACTTTGATTTTTTTTTTTTTTTGGTTAGTTGACAGTGAGTGCCTACCTTGTCCCCAGTACCAAACTAGTACCTGTACACACAGTATCTTATTTAATTTTTACAGCAGCTTTGTAAGAAGTACTATATCATCCTGTAGTTTAGGAAACTGAGGCTCGAGAAGTAGTTTCTAACACAGCTGGTTTCTAACTGGCCTCATTGACCCTGTTGCCTGCTGTTCTTCATTGCTAATGCCATATTGTCTTTCAAAACTGAGTCTTACCACGCACATCCTGTTTGTTTTGAATTTATACACCCAGGTGAGCAGAATGCATACATACACGTGGAAGACAAAAAGATGATACCGCGGTGGTTATCTCTAGATAGAAGGTTTATGGAGGATTTCGTTCTTCTTGTATTTATCTGTATTTTCTGCAGATACAAACATTTTATAGTAAACTTTCTGTTACATATTGAACATAACTTATTTCTAGTTATTGTGGCTTATTTCTAGATCAATTGACCTTATCTCCTCGATGGAAATCTCGTCACTATGACGTGGTAGTTGGTGTCTTATCAGCTCGCCATAACCATGAACTTCGAAATGTGATAAGAAGCACGTGGCTGAAACATTTGATACAACATCCTGCATTAAGTCAACGGTAGGTTTTCTAAGTTGTTACCTTGTCTGGCTTACCGAAATTTAGGTTCTGAAAAACCTCATTTTTAATAGTTAGAGATGTTCGTTCAGATACAATTGGCCTCTTTTATTGGGAGAAATAGCTATTACATTTGCTCTTCTTCCAAATAGCTGGGCCAAAAAGTAGATTTAACCAAGATTTTAAGCTAAAAGATAGTTGGGAGAACGCATATTCACTGGTTAGCATATGTCGTATTTATAAATATCAAGTGTGGTTTGTTTGTGTTTTGCTTTGATGTAGAGTAGCCATTCTTAGGAGGTTCTATTCCAAAGTAGTTCTCTGCTTAAACACGTTAAGTTGAACTAGACTTTTCGCTAACTTCATGGAGATAAACTTAATTTTTTTCAGTTTTGTAGTATTTTTTTAGTTGCATGATCTGCAGTATAATACAATAGGCATACTCTTTTTACCTGACTACCCTTACGGAACTGAAGTTGGTGGTCACCTCATGCTGTCATTAGATGGCTTAGTTACTAGGTAGCAGCAGAAAGCTGTCCTCTGTTCCCAGGGAGCCGGTGAGGAGTCAGGGAAGAGATGCTCAGAAGGTTGGATCTGTAGTTACAAGAAGACTCCTGGGTGACAAGCAGAGAAAGCCTTCTCAGGGTTGCATCAGACTGGCATGTCTGTGATTAATTACCTAAACAAGTTACAGTGGTGAATTTTCTTATCAGCAATAGTGATGTTATTTATAGCAGCTTTCATTCAAGACAGGTTTCTTTAGTTTATGATCACAGTGATAATAGGACCTATTACTACTCAGCAAAGGAAAGGCCTCAGAATCATCATTGCTGTCAGAACCACCTCCCCAAACTGCACTTCCTGTTGTCTTTCTCATCTCAGAAAATAATTATTTGGCTCAGACAAAAACCAAGCAAACAAAAACCCCTTGATATTATCTTGACTCTTCTTTCTTTCAAGTGCCGTATCCAGCATGTCGTCTTGGTGCTGCTGTTAGATGATAGCTGGAACCTACCTTCTCATCACCTTTACCGTCCCGTCCCGCTGTAAGCCACCAGTGCCTTGCCCGGATTATTACAGGAGCCCCTTATCTGAATTTCCTGCTTTTACCCCCTACATTTCGTTTTCCATACAACAGCCAGGAAGATCCCTTTAAAATTAGTGAAATTATGGAAATTCTCCACTCACCACCCTCCATTGACTTCCTTTCTTGCTCAGAGTGAGATCCTAAGTCTTTGACCTTCTCTGCATCTGTTTTCCTTGCACTGACCCCTTACTGTGCTTTAGTCCTCCTGACGTGAAATGTGCCCCTGCCTCAAGGGCTTTGCACCTGTTTCCTGTCCCAGGCCCCTCCCCCTTCCTGGACCATTTTTCGACTAAATGTTCTCCTCATTTAGTCTCAAGCTGTTGCCCTGGGTAGAGTGCCGTGGTGTCACAGCTCACAGCAACCTCAAACTCCTGGGCTTAAGCAAGTCGCTCGCCTTTGCCTCCCAAGTAGCTAGGACTGCAGGCGCCCACCACAACACCTGGCTACTTTTTGTTGTTGTTGTTGCAGTTGTCATTGTTTTAGCTGACCCAGGCCAGGTTCAAACCGCCGAGCCTCAGTGTGTTTGGCCAGCACTCTACCCACTGAGCTACGGGCGCCGCCCTCATGGTTCACTTTCTTTAGGTCTCTGTTTAGATGTCATCCTAGCAGACAGCTCCATATTAAATAACACCTCATCCCTATTCTGTCTCTCTGTTCCCTTAGTTGTCTTTATTTTTCTTTATAACACTTACCACTGACTGGCATCCTTATTGTACTTAGCTATGTATTTATAAGTGGTCTGTCTTCACTGGACTGTAGGTTTCATGAGCATAGGGGCTTCAACTTTTTTCATTCGTTCATTCCCAGTTCTTAGAATCTAGTTTGGTACAGATAAAGGCACTCAACAACAGCCAAGTGAATGACTCAGAACTAAATGTAATAAGTAAACATTCATATATCACCAGTAATTTATTCACCATGATAGCAGTCTTGCTTTAAATTTAATATACTTGGTTTCTGTGATGAAAATGGTGAGGCTGTCTGTATAAAAATAGATATTAGACTGAGGACAGTGGCTCATGCCTGTAATTCTAGCACTCTAGGAGGCCGAAGCAGGTGGATTGCCTGAGCTCAGGATTTTGAGACCAGCCTGAGCAAGAGCGAGACCTCCGTCTCTACTAGAAATAGAAAAACTAGCTGGGTGTTGTGGCAGTCACCTGTAGTGCCAGGTACTCAGAAGGCTGAGACAAGAGAAGCACTTGAGCCCAAGAGTTTGAGGTTGCTGGGAGTAATGACATCACTATACTCAACCCAGGGACAACTGAGTGAGACTCTCTCTCTCTCAAAAAAAAAATAGATACTAGTCAAAAACAACTTCTGGGGCAGAGTAATTTTGTGGATCTGTTAAGAGTATATAGATGACTGAAAAAACAAACTTGGTAAATATATGTGATGATTTACTACATTTATTTATTTACTTATTTTGAGATGAAGTCTCACTATGTTGCCCTCAGTAGAGTGCTGTGGCATCACAGCTCATAGCAACCTCAAACTCTTGGGCTCAAGTGATTCTCTTGCCTCAGCTTCCCAAGTAGCTGGGACTACAGGCACTCGCCATAATGCCCAGTTATTTTTATTTTTTATTATTTCGTTGTTGCAGTTGTCATTGTTTAGCAGGCCAGGGCCAGGTTTAAAACCACCCCTCTGGTGCATGTGGCCAGCGCCATAACCACTGTGCTACGGGCACTGAGCCTGATTGACCACATTTAATCATTTATGTTTATACTTTTATTTCAAATGCTAGTTTCCTATAAAAGGTATTCTGCCTTAATTGGTCATTAGTAAAAGGAAATGCATTTCTGCAGTTACAGTTTACTTTCCAATCTTAGATTTCACCAGAGGAGCTAAACTCAGCATGTATTTCGAGGACCTTCTAAGACTTTCTAATAAAACTGTGACCTGTCAATTTAATATATTTACTAGGTATTTTTTGCAAGCAGTGTCCTGTGTCTGGTAGAGTATAAACATAGATATAGGTGATTGTTCAGGGGGGCTTGAAGTTATTAGGAGGAAATAGATGTAATTGTGTAACAAATATGGGTGCTGTGATGTAGATATCATACAGTCTGAAGTGTCTGGGAAACTCCAGCAGTTCTGTGTAAGTGGAGCACAGGGATTACGAGGAATGGGAGGTTGAGTGTGAGCCAGAGCTCCAGGGAGGGAAGGAAGAAGCAGAGGGAAAGTAGGGGAGGCCTATGAAGGTGAGAGGTAGGCAGTGACCAGATCCTGAAAAACAAAGGTTAAGTGGAAGACTGGGACCTGTTTGGATGAGAACTTCTGAAAAGCGGTGATCTTGTAAGAGAATAAGATCATTGAACATAGAAAGAGGGTTTGGGGTCTAGGGTAGCATTCTGACTTGGAAGACAGTGGAAGCATCAGTTGGGACTCGATGAGAGGAATGGATTTCACAAGAAAGAAGCTCAGACATGTTGAGTTTGAGGTCCCTGCACCTTCATCACACAAACTAAGCTTACTATACTGATATACTGCCAAATGTTTCCTAATCGGCTTTCTGGAAAAAAGTTTGCTTATAGGTGCATATGTATTTATTATAAATTTTATTGATATAAAGGATGTGTACCACATAATTGACAGGTGATAACATACACAATACTCTTAGTGTAAATTCCATGTAGCCAGTTGATCCTCATAGAATGCTTTTGTTGTTTGCTAGATTCTTATATCTGGAACCAACTTAGGGTTACCGTTGACAAAGGAGTATAGTTTTGACATAATCTTTTAAGAGTTAAGACTAAAATGACAACTAAGATACGTCAGAACTTTAGTTGTGGTTGATGAAGTCAGGGGCTTCTTTGCTTTTTGAACACTCTATAGTATTTCCTTGACGTCTTTATACTTTTCGCAGTGTAATGGCTGTGGACACGTCACATTAAATTTATTGTGCATTGTTGATATTTTCTCGGTACTTTCTTACATCTAGACAATCAACAAAACAATAAGTCCTTATTTGTATTGTTTGCCAATTTCTGTGGTGTAAATACTCCTCCCATGGCCAGTTTGAAGCAACTGATGGGGGGTCACTGAACACAGAGTTAGGGAAAGACACGCAGTGGTATGCCGTATACAAGATTGCCACCATATAGATGTAATAGATGGAAAAAGCTTTAAGAACATCGATAATTACAAAATGTAGTAAAATCAGAAAATGAATATTTAATCCCTTTGTTCCTAATATATTTAACTGTAAGTTTATGTAGTTTAATTTGTAATAGCAGGTGTGTTTAGTAACAACCTCTAGATTTCTGAAAATTTAACTCCTGGTTCTCACAAGCTTATATGAGAAACTTCAGCACACAGCAGTCTGTGGGCAATCTAAAAGATGTCCGGTGCATTTATGAATCTTTCACTTAGAAAATGGGTTGAAGCTGGAGTAAGTAATTCAGGAATCATTCCCAGGCTAGTTAAGGCCTTGGGTATAAATAATATTACCCAGGGAAAGGAGTGAAAAAAATGAGTAGACTGAGAAGGGCTCCTCGGGCAAAGCCCTGGACCAATATCCATTCTCAATGGACAAGCTGTGGGAAGAGCCAGTGAAGCTGACTGAGTACAAAGAAAGGGCAGAAGGCATTGGAGGGAGCCCAGCAGTACGGAGCCCTAAGGAGTCAGGTAGGGAAGGGTTGAAGAGTGGCTGGTGGTTTAGCAGCAGGTGGTTGGTTACATTGCTGGAAAGCGTCTCAGTGGAAGTGGTCAGTGTTGGAGCTGAAATTCCTGTTTTACAAAATGAGCAGGGAGTAAAACCTAGAGGTTGCAATTTTAGTTAATTTCTTTGTAGAACCTCAGTGTAAAGGAGAGAGTGGTGGCAAGGGAGATGGCAGGTGAGTAGAAATTCGTGTCGTAACACCATATTTATAATGTGGGAGGAAGGAGCCACGGTAGCCAGTGAAGCAAGGTCGGGGAGAGGAGGGGACCTTGTCTTGGAGAGAAAACTAATCTTGAGCAAAAGGATCGCCTTCTGAAATGAAAGCAAAAAAGGAAAATTTTAGATGTAGGTAAGTTTTTAGGCATGGGTGTGAGACCGTTAACTTATAGTTTATTTTTAAATGATCTGAGCATTTGCTAGTAGGCAGGCCCAAACAGTTCATACTTGCTTTAATATATTGCAGTAGAGGGCGTAGGCGTAAGTCACTTGGTAGTTAGCAACTTGTGGTTTCTTTGTTCCCCCTTTTTGCTAGTTAGACCAGAATAAAGGTAGAGAATTAATCTTCATAAATACTTGTGTCTCAAAGTAAAAGCTCTGAAATGGGCGTGAGGAAGCGTGCATGTGCCAGGTGAAGAGCAGTAACTGATGTTAATGCCACACGTCTCTCAGTGTGCTTGTGAAGTTCATAATAGGTGCTCAAGGCTGTGAAGTGCCTGTGGAGGACAGGGAGGATCCTTATTCCTGCAAACTCCTCAACATCACGAATCCAGGTAAGTCATCTGTGTCCTAAGACTGCCATACGCAAGTTTGGGGTTCCTAAGTTTGGGGCTTGGCACCCTTAGCTCAGTGGTTAGGGCGCTGGCCACATACACCGGGGCTGGCGGGTTACAACCCAGCTGAGGCCAGCTAAACAACGACGACTATAACAAAAAAATAGCCGGGCATTGTGGCGTGCGCCTGTAATCCCAGCTACTTGGCTGACTGAGGCAGGAGAATCACTTAAGTCCAAGAGTTTGAAGTTGCTGTGAGCTGTGATGCCTTGGTACTCTACCGAGGGCAACATGGTGAGACTCTTGTCTCAAAAATTAAAAATAAAAGTTGGTAAGTTTAATAGTATAGAGTCTTTTTTTCTTTTTTTGTCCACACATCTTCACACTGATATAGTATGTTTTTAATAGATGAAATCTCTTTCATCAAAGTTTGTGTTTAATCCTTTTTGATTGATTGATCAGGGTATCTGAACAGATTCTTTATAGATACAAAACTTCAGGATCCAGGAAAGTTTATTTTTCAGTGTGATTCAGATGCATTTGGAGGTTCTTTATTTTTAGATAAATCCTGAATTGCTGAATTTGCACCTTTGAAAAACTGATTTATTCAATTATAATAACCTTGATACAAATATCATGAACCTAACTTTCTCTTAGAGTTACTGGCTAAGCTTCTGTTAAAGAAACATAACAAATAGTAAAAAATTAAAACTACAAGTATTATTATTTATTCCTTAGAATTAAAAGTTTGTAGGGATTCCGATGAAGAAAGCTGATCCTAATTAGGTTCTCTGTGTCCCTAGGGAACTAGTTTTAAGAAGTTGATAATTATATAACTGTGTTTATTAGCACTTCCTATTATGTTCAGCTGTGATTCTAATGGAGGTTGAAATTTCCAAGTCTTAAATGTGCTGATTATGACTTCTGGTATTTGAAGGTTTGTCATAGCTATGTAATTAAATAGCACCGTGCTTTTATAGGCAGCAGTACTAGACTGGTTTAGAGTATGGGCTCTTAGCTGTGCACGGTGGCTCATGCCTGTAATCCTATAGCAGTCTAGGAGGCTGAGGCAGGTGGTTTGCATGAGCTCAGGAATTTGAGATCAGCATGAGCAAGAACAAGATCTCATCTCTGTTAAAAAGAGAAAAAAAAAAAGATAATTAGCCAAGGCGTTGTAGCCGGTGCCTCTAGTCCTAGCTGTTTGGGAGGCTGAGGCAGGAGGATTACTTGAGCTCAGAAGTTTGAGGTTGTTATGAGCTAAGGTGAGGCCACAGTACTCTAGCTTGGACAACAGAGTGAGACTCTGTCTTTAAATAAAAAAGTTCTGAAATCCAGGCTCTGCCATTTTTTAGCTCTGTGATCTGTGCCTTAATTTCATCATTTGTAAACTGGGAATAAAAGTGTCTCTACCTCGTGGGGATGGACATGAGGATGAAATATGAAATATTTAGAATAGTTTCTAGGAGATAGTAGATATTTGATTTTTTTTTTTTTTTTAAAGATTCTGCCTTTGCATTTTGGGAGAGGTGGGTGGATAGCTTGAGCTCAGGAGTTTGAGACCAGCCTGAGCAAGAGCAAGACCAAGACCCTATCTCTCTCTATTAAAAATAGGCATTGTGATGGACGCTTGTAGTCCCAAATACTTGAAAGAAGAGGCAAGAGGATCTCTTGAGCCCAAGAGTTTGAGGTTCCTGTGAGCTGTGACACCATGGTACTCTACCTAGAGTGACAGAGTACTGTTCTCAAAAACAGAACAAAATTGTCTTTTTATAAGGCTACTGTTTTATAAAAAAAAATACAACTTTTTAAATGAATTGATGTATATGTTCAGGTTTGTGTTATAAAGGAGGGATTTCTTAGAATGTCTATGAATTTTGTTAGCAATGTAAGCAAAATTTTGTGTATAAATTATTTTCTGGGAACCTCTCCCTTTAACTTTGGGGTCCCAGAGGGATCATGAACCTCATAAAGTGTTACTAAAGATACGGTAGGCTACAACAAATCATGACTGAAAACCAAACAAAGCTCTCAGTTTTAAATGAACCAGACTCTTACTAATTTAAGTGCTATTATTCATTAATAGTAAAGGAATAGAACTTTCCATTAATAGAAAATGTTCGCCTTTATAATACCTAGGTTACAAATTTATTTATTTGTTTATTTACTTATTCATGAGACAGTCTCACTGTGTCTCCCTTGGTAGAGTGTTGTGGCGTCATAGCTCACAGCAATCTCATACTCTTGGGCTCA